ATCCTCCAGTTTATTTTCTAAGTACATTATATATTCCCTGTCTTCCTTTGCATGATTTTGCAGGGCTACAATTTGTTTTTTGAACTCTTCATTTTGAGCGGTTAATATCGTTAGCGAGCTCTCAATATTTTGATTTGACAGGCGAACCTCTTTAAGGGTCGAAGTGAGTTCATTGAGATCTTTTGCTTGTTTACTTGTGATTGCCATTAGTTTAGACATTTCTGCTTTTAGGTCCATAAATTGATCCTGTATTATGCTATCCGAATTATGAATTTGTCTTTGTTGTGTACGTTGTGTAACAAAATTTGGTGGAGTTTTTTCATCTTCCGATACGCACAGCGACATCTCTGTGTCCATGTGTTCACTACGCCGCTCAGTCATACTGTACCAGGGCAACAGAAGTGTACGGGATATGAGTCACAAGAAGGCAAAGCTTCTTACCGACGTCAGCGCAGCAAGTTGACGGGGTGCGCGGAGCGTATTGGTCAAGCGGTGTTACGCCTCCCGGGGCGGGCAGCAAGCTGTGGCGGGCGGCGCTTGCGCGGCGGGTCGCAGCGATGAGTCAGCGTAGCTGGTGCACTCGACGCGTATCAGTAGCAGTCGCTGATATCACCTCCTCGCATTCATGCACTCCTAATTTTTGCGCTCGAATAAATGCGCAATATTTAAAGTATTTTTGGAAAATAATTTTAAATAAATTTTAGTACAAGATATACGTCTGAACACCTCAGAGGTCCGGGGGGAAGAGGACTTTTATTTATGATTTGAGAATTACAGTATATGGAAGTGAAATAAGAGGCAAAAAGATTGCAGATGTCCCTACCCTCTGTAAAACAAGCGGTACCGTCGGTCATTGACATAGGATAAGTACTAGAGCCCCCACGTTTGCTTTTTATATATGACCAGAAATATTTAGGGTTTGTCTGGATGCGATTTTCGACTTCCGCGTGATAGGATTTGTAGCAAGATTTCATTAGGTTCCTACAACGTTCTGTAAGAAGACGATAAGAAATCAAGTCTAAGGGATTGTGATACTTTTTGTATTTTAGTCTGTACTTATTTTTTTCCCGTAGGCGATTAATTAGGTCCTTGGAGAACCATAATGGATATCTTTTATTCTTTACTCTAGTAACAGGTACATTCTTTATAATTACTTCTTTGATATTATTATAAAAAATGTCTACCATCTGATCGATGTCTTCGACACCTGTGAAAAGTTTATCCCAATCGATCTTGGCTAAATATCTGTTAACTTTGTCATAGTCAACTAGATGAAAATTTAGCCTACGTGTGTCAAGATTGTATGGCAGAGTTGGACTACTAGAAAAAGTAATTTCAACTATGAGTGGTGGATGTAACGGGTCCTCGGTACATAATATGTCTGTTGCTCGAGAAACAGTGCATGAAATTGTGTCTTAAGACTAAATCAAGTGTTCTACCCATAGAATTATTAATAAAATTGCATTGTTTTAGGCTGTTTACCATAGAAAAATCAATAAAGCTTTGATATAAAGGAGAAGTCTGTAAATTTTCTGAGTTGTATACACTACTCCAGTTTAAGTTGCTCAAATTAAAATCTCCGATGAGGCAAATTTGTGTGTTAAGTTGCTCTTTTACTTTATTAAAATTATCGATAAAATGATTAAGTAGCGAAATATGAATTGGTGGTGGGAGATACACGGCACAAAAAACAATCTGGTAGGTAGATGAGGATGAGTCTACTGCTACCCACAGGTCTTCGCATTTGCTATCATAGTGATGAAGCCTTTTGGAGTGAATATTTTTATTAATGGCAATTAAGACTCCTCCCCCATCTTTACGCGAATTAAATGTAAAGTCCTCTCTATCTCTCCTGTATACTACGTATCTGTTGTCGAATATTTCAGAACTAAGGATGTTTTTATTAAGCCAAGTTTCTGTTAAAATAATAATATCATAATTACTAGCTAACAAGTTACAATAAAATAAATGAGTTTTGGTTCGGAGACCACGTATGTTTTGGTAATATATATTAAGAGCTGAGAATTTTATAGCTTTTGGCCAGGAATTTTATACTATCAATACCAAGGACAAACAAGTATTTATTTAAGTTTGTGAATAGTGTCCATATCCTTTATAGTTATGCAGTTCGCCTTGTCGCTTTTCCTCTTGTAAATACGGCCATTTTTAATCCAAACGTATTTATATCCCTTTTCTTTTGCAGCGGATCTGGCGGCGACGTGCAGGGCTCTGTTTGTCGGTGATAGATGATCAGTAATGAATATAGGTGTTTTCGATCCTTCGTATCCAAGATGAGAGCTGTTGAGTTTATCGTGAACAGGTTTCGGTTTGTTAAAGTTTATAGCTGCGGCCATGAACAAATTTCTAGATTGAATGGTGTTGAATTGAACAACGATCGATCTGGGTCTTGTGCTTCCAGGATTTAGTTTAGCTATGCGAGTACAATGGGAAATATTGTCCCTGGAAATATTACAGTTAATGACTTTGCCAATGTTGGTTATAATCTCAACAATATTTTCATTTTTCTTCTCCGGGATGCATTGGATTTCCACATTGTTTGAGCGTGCATTTTGTTCCAGCATGTTAAGTCGTGTGCATAAGTCTTTTACTGTGTTTTAAGAGTCAAGTTTTCTACCTTTAGATCTGACAGAGTTTTTTTTAACTTCGGCTTGCTCTTTAAGGACTTCCTCAAATTTGCTGTTCATGAAGTTCATTGAGTCTTTAATATATTTCATTCATAACGGCTCTCAATTCAGTACTGAATAATTCAAGGGAGTTGCTAAGATTAGTATTCAATCCATCTATTTCCTTGCGAACCACTTCCTGAACAACGCTACGCATATCTTCTTTAAATGTATATTCTGATGCGTTGTCAGGGGGGGATTGGATTGCCTGCCTTTTTGTGGCGCGGATTGTTATATTTGGATTGAAACGCACCGGAGTCTCATCGTTGTTAGGGTTTTTTGGCTGGGGGGTAGTGCATGTTGGACAATTCCAGGATGGTTCAATCAGATTTTGAGGGTTAACAGTTGATGAAGTCAAACAAGCCAAGTGAAATGTCTTGCGGCATGTATTACATAGAATGTACCCATTGTCCTCTTTATTAGACCCTCCGCAACATCCCCATTCATTATTTTTACTGGACATTATTATAAAGTATAATTTATTAGTACTCTACTACCTACCACTTCTAATATTTCAATTGACACTATGTACGATTGACTTTAAAAAACTTGTAGCCGTTGTGGGTTTAGAATGACTGGGGTACTAAAATATTTCAACTTTTTATACGATTGGGTCTTGATTTGTTTTTAAGTTGCACCGCCGTAAAATGACGTATAAACAATTTAAGAAACAGAAAAAAAAAATAAAAAAGTTCCAAAGTAAAATAAATCTTAATCTATGATAATGATTGAAGGTTTGAACTTGTGCCGATAGAGTAAATAACAGTGTCGCGGTAATGCGCAACGTTCAAACCGCTAGATTTATGTTAAATAAGCCACTGGTTGTTGAACACAGTCAAATTAATCAATAAAAATGCGGGTCTTTTTGTTTCTTAACAATACTACACAGACACTCACGGTAGCAATTTACCCTCAATGATTTCTGTGAACACTAATGTTAATCGGCACTTTTTGTTTACTTTCTTCCTTAAAGTTGAATTAATACACACAATGAATTATGCTATTTAAAAGGTGTTTGTTTCACGCACTGACTAATATAACTTCCACCACTAACTTCGCAGTATTATTCACTTAAACTATTATTTTTCTGTGGAGATATAACTTATGCGTCTACTTCGTTAGAGCCACTTAAACAATGCTACTATCAAATATATCTAGATGTACGTTACTACGCTTAATCTCGTCGTAATCACGGCACATTTTGACAACAGGGTTGAAAAAGAAGTGTTATTCTTGTGTACGTCTAACCTAAATATTCTTTGAACACGTTGTCGTATACCGGAATTGAAGTTAATTAGCCTTAGTAACTCTGGGTAATCTATATGAGAATGTACAATCTTGTGCAAAAAAACTGAATGGACTTTTCTGCAAAGGTGTATAAAGAAGGATAGCTTTATTTAATTCGTGGTAAAAAATATCAACTGCATCATCTACACTCCTCGGCCAAAAGATGTTGCCAATTTGTATTAAGTAAATGATTTTTAGATATGGGCAGCGTTCGGGAAATTACGGCACATCTTCTCGTCAGGTATACCTCAAAACTTGAAAACGAGACTGTACACCCAGTACGTGTTGCCAGTGATGACATACGGAACTGAGACGTGGTCCTTCACTGCTGGCCGGATGAGGAAGCTCAAGGTCGCTCAGCGAGCTATGTAGAGGGCTATGCTCGGAGTTTCTCTGCGTGATAAACTCAGAAATGAGGATATCCGCAGTAGAACTAGAGTGACCGACATAGCCCAACGGATTAGTAAGCTGAAGTGGCAATGGGCCGGCCATATAGCTCGAAGAACCGACAACCGATGGGGAAGAAAGGTTCTCGAGTGGCAGCCTCGTACCGGCAGGCGAAGTGTAGGGCGTCCCCCCACTAGATGGAGTGACGACCTGGTAAGATATGCAGGAAGTCGATGGATGCAGGTGGCTCAGGACCGTGCTTTGTGGCATTCTTTGGGGGAGGCCTATGTTCAGCAGTGCACTTGTGAAGGGCTGTAATGATGATGATGATGATGAAATGATTTTTTATCTTTATAAAGTTGCATTTATGAAAATTTGGTTTCAAAGTGCCTGGGTTCTGCCTGATGGGTTTAAATGCTTACTGGTGTCCAATAGATATGTTCAAGCAAGGGTGATGTCTATCGGGTTTGATTATATTATCGATAGAGACAGTGAATATTCTTACATATTGGTTCAAGTCTAGTTTAATGTACGTATATAGCCATGTTTCTTTTCTTTAGCCTCCATACTGTTGGAAGTGCTTTTTCATTTGCTATTGGGCTACAATGATCTTACAAATAGCTGCAATGATAACAATGTTACCTGCAGGCTTCTCCGCAACTTCCAAGGGTTTGAGTCCTAACTTGACTCGCAGACGGTTGGTCTCTTCTATAGACAGGCTCTCCTGTGCTGCACCACCTTCCGGCGACCGCTCCTTCTCCTTACTTATTTCCCTGCAATATACATTTTAACTATCATCTTTTCTTTTATCCTTTAAAGTTGATTAATGCACATGCGTCAGCCTAAGTGTTTGTTAATACCGCAATATTTGTGAATAAAACAAGTATGACAATGGGGTAATCTAAGGGGGAGACCTATGATGAGCACTGGACTTTTTAATAGGTGATAATCCCGTATATCATCCCGTGGGTATTGTAGGAGGTGACAGATGGAAATGAAACAACTTAAAATAATAAAAATTTAATTTTTAAAACTCCTTACTAAGCACAGCAACCACAGTAAACATTCCCACTATGTGCTGTCTATGGAGGAGGTCTATGTTCAGCAGTGGACTTTCAATACTTTACTTCAAAACACAAAATTATAAAAAGCTGTGGTTGCCAACTCGTTTGCTAAGTTTATCAGCTGTTTAGGCCAAAATATTAACATATTTAAAACTTGCATTCCAAGACGCTCGCCTCGGCGTGTCCTCCGATGGAATTTAGAGGTCAACGCCTGGGTCAGTTGCGCGCGCGCGTCGCATCGGGCGACCGCGTCCTTTTCAGTATGACGGTTATGTGCGAAACGGTCGGCCGCGTGACAAACGCCTCTTATTGATTGTCTTTTCGTGCTTTAAGTGACAAGAGGCCCTTTTGTGTTTTGGAACGCTAAGAATGTGTGATCCGAGAGGAGATCGCTTCGTGTTAGATATAGATTAATTGTGCGCGTACACCGGGGCGAGTAGAAGTCTAGAAAAATAATTGTCGCGCGACGAACGGTCGGTGAAATTGCTTTTAGAAGTTAATATTGAATTGTAACGTCGCATTAAGTGCCTTTTTTTGTGTGTTGTCTATTTTAGTTCGTTTTACGTGTCAACGAGGCTGGTCTCATATAATTATTGTTGTAACCGTTTTGAGTGTTATTTGCGACCCGTTAGTTAGGTTGCGCGCGGCCGGCATTTTGATTTGAAAATTTGGGTTAATTGTGCGCGACGTTTTGAATTTACTATTGAATATTTGGGTTTAGTTAAGACCGCCTCGAATAGAGTGTCTGTTTTGAGCGTTACGTGACAGCGAAGCCTATCTTGAGTTTTGAATGATTAAATTAACTGATTGCCATTAATTTGCGACGCCGAGTTGTTTGTGTGGCATCTTAATATCGTGATAAGACATTTGACTTGTCGGGAGAACGCTGAACTTTGTGACTCGAGAAGAGACCGCGTTCGTTCTCGTGTTTATAATGTTGTGCTAAGTGAACCTGGAACATTGAATATTGAACTTTGATCGACTGTTCTTTACTTGTGTCGCGTGTCACTTGTTTTAATTTCGATGGACGTTGATTTGGTTGACTTTGAAGTTAATTAAATGTACAATAAAGTTGATAAACAAATATAGTAAAAATAATAGCAGAAGTTTTCAATTGGTGATCGACCACTGGAGGGATCGCACATTTGGAGAGAAGCAGCGCCTTTGGATCTGCAGTTCGACTACATCGGGGATGTCAGGTTACACATGTACACACTACTACACACTACTTACATGCACATCACTTACCACCTGACTAGTACCCTGTGGTCAACCCTACCTCCGGAAATCGTTAAGTTGTGCTTGCTTATTTGCCATTAATTTAGAACTATCCATAGGCCATTGGGCCCGAACCCTCGGCTGCTCGTCGAGGAGGCTACTATGGGCCCTAGCCAAGGCGATCTTTGCCGGGGCAGCTAGGGGCCGTAACAAGCAGCTATGGCAAATATCCCCATTCTATGGAGGAGACCTGTATTCTGTAATGGTATTTTGATAGGCTTTGGATGGATGGACACTATACAAAAAAAAATGGATGGACTACACATAAAAAGGAATATACCGGTGCGTGTGTCGAGTTTCGGGTGGTGGACTGTGGCTGCGACTCTCACTGCGACTCCGCGAGTGCGCCGCGCCATTGCTGTCCTTCTGCAAGTGAGAATCTACCGGCACCTCCTCAACTGTAAAGAAACATACAACATTATAGACTTATATTATACTATACTTTATTAAAAATAACTTAAACTTTTGTCTGTCGTCAAACATTGTGTCCACAACCACATATACACCAATAAATAATCAAATGATCAAATTAAAATAATGCCTTCAACTATTAAGAATAATATTAATTTTACTATAAATTTTTACACATTACTTAATAATCTTATAAGTTGAAAGGACAATGTTTATGCTATGCCATATGGTAGGGATGTAAGAGAATCCACTACTCCATGGCGTGTGTTGTAGGAAGCGACTGTGGGGTACACCAACAAGTGGTAAAATAAAAAAAATGTACAATTGACTTTAATATAAATAAAATCAATTCATAAACAAACAAAATAATTTAAAATTAAAAATTTTGTACAACCGACTTCAATATAAATTATAAAGAATAACTCGAAAACTACTGGTCAGACTTTGATCAGATTTATATGGGACCACATGTGAAGCACCGCTCTCAAATAAAAAAAGAATCATCGAAATCGGTTCACCCAGACATAAAAAAAAAAAAACATACAGTCGAATTGAGTACCGTCTCCCTTTTAAAGTCTGTGGAAAATGAGAACATCATCAATGTTGTCAAAGTCAATTAAATATGCATTATTAGGAATAACTCAAAAACGACTGGTTAGATCTTGATCAAATTTATATGGGACCACATGAGAAGCACCAGCGTTAAGAAAAGAATCATCAAAATCGGTTCACCTAGAAAAAAGTTCTGAGGTAACACATAAAAAAATACAGTCGAATTGAGAAACTCCTCCTTTTTATGAAGTCGGTTAAACAAGCCTGGTATCGGTAAGCAACATGTAGGGTGAACGCCTACTAGGTGAAGTGACAATCAGGTAAGATATGCAGGAAGTTGATGGACACAGGTGGATCAGGATCTTATATTGTGGCATTCCTTGGAAGAGGCCTATCTTCAGCAGTGGACTTGTGAAGGGCTGTAATGATGATGATGATGTAAAGTTTGACAAGAGGACAATTGCTCAATAACCCCAGAAATAAGAGGAGGCATGCTCAATAATGGGATATATGCCTACTATAACAAACATTTTTACAAAATTAATGCAAGAATTTACAGTAATGATGTCATAGTTCTTATATATAATTTTAAATACTAAAAATTTAATTTAAGTTAAAGTGGAAAATCTACCATGACTTAAGACACTTAAAGCAGCAAATGCAAATTCAAATCATGTAATTATTTAATAAATGTGACGTCAGCACACAGCTAGCATTGTTATTTTACATGCAGCGAGCAATTCTTGGCACTATACCGAAAAGACTAGAATTTGTTATGAGAATTTTAGTTATTAGATTTTTTATTTTAATATTGTGTATTATCATATCATTTCATATTCTAATAATTTGTGATTTACAATGTATGTGTATTATGCAACAAATACGCTTTATAAGGTATAAAAAATATTTTAAAAAATTATAAAATTAAGCATCTCATCATACTATGTATCACATTCAGATATAATAAAGTGTATTGTGGGCCGTTAATTAGCTCTCTAGCATCTAGTTTAGATTTTGATGAATATAACATTTGAATTTGGTATGTCATTTACTTAGAATCCAAACATCACCAAATTCCTAAACTTTTTAAACAGCAACTTATTTGTTTTTCATTTTAATGCTAAATAAATGCATGCTGTAAGTACTAAGAACCTGTAAGTAAAAAGAAGAGAATGAAACTGAATGAAAACAGGTGCAATTGAAGATATTAAGAAGTTCTATATCAACACAAGTTTATCCATGAACTTTAAATACTTCCATATATTGCCACAAAGCATGGTCCTATGGAGTTTGGGTTTGAAATATCTCCCTATTGTAGTGTTGACAACAATTAACACTAGTCAGTTTATTGAATTATATTGCTGGTACATTCCACTGTAACTTAGTGATCCGTTCTTTTACAGATTGGCACTACACTAAATCCCACACAAAGGTAGATGTAGTCTTTAACAGACATCCAAAGCCAGAGAGCATATTACGAGTATTTAAGGATAAATTTGACTAATTGTGTAACAAGTAATTATAAATGAAATGAAATTTATATTATATAGGAACTGAACAAAAATTATTTTTATTAAATAAGTGGAGCTATTAATCCCTTAAAACTAGAATTAATTTGATTAACTTGTGTTTACAACTAAAAAAAAATTCAATATTGTTTAAACACAATTTATAAGAAATTTATATTGTAATTGATTGAACATATTGGTAGCACTTTTTTTTTTAAATTAAATATGCAATGTTTTTCCATTTTTCCTGCTATAATTATTACACATGTGCACATATTTTAATCATTTCAGTTTTATAAAAAAAAAACTTAAATTTATATGTTTTTGGTTTAAATGTGTGCTCCTAATAAATGATTGTTTCATTCTTTTTAAACTACAATTTGACCCAAGCTTCCAAATACTGTCTGAAGGTAGCAGACACCACCATTAGTAAATAACTACCTACAACAGTGTTTCCCAAACTTTGTTCTGCCATGACCCGGTAATTTTCACACTGTACCTTTGTGACCCACTTAATACTTTTAAACCCAAGCTGGTTCCATTAAGTAAAATAATACACATTTATTAATAGTAAAAATGTTTTGTCAGCCGTGAGGACTAAGATGGAATGCCTCTTTTCCAGTAAAAAGGGTCTCCGGTTCTCTTCACCCACCATATGAAACACAGCCACTATTTTACGCTGGTATTCTGTAAGTTTGTTTCTTCCCCAGTCGAGCTACAACTATACAATTAATACAGCTGCAGCATGGCTCCAACATGTACAAAAATCTGTCTGTGTGTATGTGACTGGACTCTTCCTAAATGGCTGGATCAATTTTCAAGAAATTTTGTTTGTGTTGAAAGATGATTTGCGAATGGTTTTGAGTTACAATTGGACGTGGTAAGTGGTGCTTTTATGACACACTAACCGTGCAAACCGGATCGCTAGTTTGGCTATAAAACTATGACATAATTTCACTATATTCTTGCACAATTTTTATAAAAATGTTTATTAAACTCATAAAAAACACATAAGTAAAGTTACAACTCATATCTCATTGCGGAGCACAGGCACCTCATTTCTGAGAGGGTTCTGGAGCAATTTGACCACCACACTGTGCATGTTGGCAGACTTTACATCATCATCATTATCATCATCACTACAACCCTTCACAAGTCCTGAACTAATAAACCTCCCCAAAAAAAAAACAGTCCTATGTCACTGTGTTACCAGTGTAGGGTTCACCTACACATTCCTTACCGGTCCGAGACTGCCATTCAAGAACCTTTCTTCCCATCGGTTGTTGTTTCTTTGAGACTTCACATGTCTTCAAAATAATTTATTTCTCAGATATGCGGGATACCTCTCAATGTTTTTCTTCACCATGAAGCACATATTAATTCAGCACTCAAAACAATTTCATTGGTGTCGGTGGAAAACGATCCTGATATTACTCACATACTGTAAAATTTGCAGCATAGTTCTTCAATTGCTACTTATAGTAATAATTATATTCTTAGTTAGTAAAATGTGATAAAATCCGAAACAACTACATTCATTCAATTATTTATAGTAGTCATGTACTTTGACCGCCAGACTAATCTGTCATAAAATAATGTATGATACAAAGATACAGATAAATTTACTTTGCTCTAAGTTTTTCTTTTAGTATTAAATTGGGCAAAATAGTAAATTATTTTTATCAATATAATTACAATACTAATACTACTATGTAAGCTTTATAGTAAATTTTACCTATATTTGGGGCATCTATACAGTTTACTCATCTGGTTGGGCTGTACAAAATAAAATAAATGCATAAAAAAATACATAAATAAATAAAAACCCAACCAGATGGAAGCCCTCGGCAGGGGAGACCAGACGGCCGAGGGTTAGGGGGAAAGGGAAAGAAACCGGCGGACGATGCGGGCGGTATCGAGGAGCACCGCCTTCTGCATTTGAGCTTGGAGCGGTCCGTCACAGAGTCCCAGTCGCCTCAGATAACCCGAGAGGCTGACTGGGATTAACCCGTTCGCAGAAACGACTACAGGTATAATTTCGGCCGGCAGTCCACCCCACATGTCGGTTACCTCGTGAGCCATTACCTATATTATTATTACTATATTATTTAATATTACTACACTTATTTATATTTATTTATTTTTTCTTTATTTCATTCCCTGTCACAAAAGAATGCCAAAGGGGGATTTTAATGCCAATATGGCAACACCAATAGACACTGATTTGCTTATTGATCATCTATTGCAGCTTGCGTAAATATATACTGAATCAATACCACTGTAACAGTTTAAAAAAGAGAATACTATAAACAGTATTAACATTACTAAGGTTAAAGGTTAACTCTCGTTAAGCATTCCAAGTAAGCTTAAAATGTTGTGTAAGGAGTGGTTCATGACAGTAGTCCAATTTTGGATTTAAATCAACATTCTGAGTTGGCAATTTGCACTATTATCTATTAGGCTAATGTCACTTATACCTAAATTGTGTATATTATACTATATTGATCAAATACACAAGCGACAATAATAAGCACATCATCAATTCACAGTAAATTCCATCACCCCCTTTAAGGATGATTTCCATGATCAAAGCTATCCTGTTATTTCCTTCTTTACTTTAACTCCACTTAAACTATCTCGATAACAAACAATCGGTTCAGCGATTTAAGCGTGAAAAGGTACATTTGCTCATGCAGCGATGAGCAATGTTTTCCTACCCCCTCACCCGCAGTATGCCCGACCACCCTGCGTGCGCCGGTCCTCACAATTTTATATAGTCGTTACTTTTAAATATTTGACCAAATTATGTAGTTTAAAAGACAAAGTTTATCTACTTTGAATATCAGAAGTGTTTAAAGTATTTATTTAGGACAAACAATTCCACCATACATTATATTTGTGTAACTCTTACAGTTTTTCCACTGTATGCCATAGCTCGCAGATGACAGATTTTTTCCAAGATACTTAACACTTATCGTTATATTTTGACCAATTTAGAAAATATATAAATTATAGCCTATGTGTTGTTCTGAGGTATGAGCTATATTATGGTAGTTTCATTAAAATTTATTAAGTAGTTTTTGAGTGGAGGAGTAACAAACATCCATACATCCTCACAGACTTTCACGTTTATAATGTTAGGAGGATGTAATAAACATTGTAGGTTTTAAAGTAATTTGTGAATCAATGAAACAACAGTAACCCAACTTTGATTCAGCCAAACAGTAACATGCTACATTAGCTTCTCCGATCCTGGATAATAGATAAATCATCACTTAACAATACCCACCTCACAGGATCAGCACTCGGGATGCAGTTTAACGTCTCGAATGCCACCGTGTCTGAAATATGACCAAAATATGCCATTATCTTGTCAACTGAAAATGACGCTGCCACTGGTGATAACTGCTTCATTCCATAAGTACCAGATTTCTGGCATTTCAACTTTATATCCAACATACATAAAAAGGGGTTATGATGACGATTAGAAAAAGAAATTATCTCCAGTGTGCAACGTTTAGACTTATAAGAACTCAAAAAGTAAACTGACCGTCTGGTGAACGATCCTTCTTGCGGTCTTTGTGTTTCTTGTGTCGTTTTCGCTCCCGTTCCTCACCATCCAAAGGAGAACGCGAACGACTCCTATGCTTCTTCTTTTTTGATTCCTTTTTATGTTTTTTGGAGCCCATTATTTGCTTTATTCAAAAGCGTGACACAATCAAATTAGTAATTATTTAACGAAGATACTGTTTTGAAAAGCACGTTTATGATTATGAGATTTACGTTTACTTTATTTTTGACACTTTGGCAGATGAAAATTTGACGCCAAACGCCAATGACGCTATTTTTTATTTTTTATAAACTGGCTTTACACCACAGACTACTTAGTGGATACGTAGATAGAGGTCTCTGGTATATAGTGTATTATCTATGGATAGAGGATTGACTAGATAAAGCATTCGCATATGCTTTTGAGATAGAAATAGGCGGGAGGTACTTTCACTGGGTTACCAGATATTGTTTCATTTCCCCCGTTATGGGTTTATTTATATTCACAGCACTTACATTCATACAAAAAACTTAATTGTTACCATAAACAAATGTTCTTTTATAATTCAGACGATTAATTAATTTATCTTGAAAATACATTCTGTGACAAAAACTACGGGCGGAAACGGCGTAAAAACAGAATCATCATTCTGTGTTCAACGGCGCATCGACGATTTTACTGGACATTCAATAAACTCTTTGGATTTCGACGGCACTAAGTGAAGACGCTAATAGCACAAAGTGTGATATCGCTAATAAATAACAATATGTTATTAATGTACTTAAATATTAATTGAGAATAAAAATATTAAATAATAAACAAAAATTTCCTTGAGTCGAGTTTTGTTATTTTTACAAAAAAAAAATCAATAATGTTTTAACATATCATTCCATCACAAGTTCAGTGCTGAACACAGACCTTCGAAAGGAAAGGGTTTCCACTTAGTTTTTGTAGTACAAAACACGGTTATGAGCCTATTCCCGCGATTTCCTGCATGTTTTGCAAGTTAGTGTCTTGTGTGCGGCAAGTTGTGGCGTACAAGAGAATTTGTCTGTACACGGGATGATATTACCCCGCGTCGTAAGCAATAATACAAGATGGGGATGGGGCAGCAGCACTTTCCCGATGAAAACTTAAAATAATAAAAAACTGCGGTGGCCAACCAACATAACGCATATTTTCACGCAGGCGTGGCAACTATGGCAAGTCACCCTATGAGGATATAGAATAGAATAGAATAGAATAGAATGATTTTTATTCAATATGGATTATTACATAATACTTATTGAAAGTCATTATTTTATTTACCACTGGTTCGGAAAATACCTCTGTCCTGGGAAGAACCAGCAAGAAACCCAGCGGGACTTTTTTTTTTAAACATAATTTCACTTAACAATAATTTTGATTATACAATTTTAAATGAATTTTCATAGAACCAGCATGGTGGCGATCACCTTATTCCCAGGGGTTATTTTCACTCATGTATTCCTTGATATTATAATAACCCTTTTTGTACAGTTTTTCTTTAATAAAACTTTTAAACTTGTTTATTGACAAACTTTGAACATGTTCTGGGATTCTGTTGTAAAAGCGTATACATTGCCCCATAAATGAATTACTAATTCTGTGGAGTCTTGTAAGTGGCATTACAAGCTTATGTTTGTTCCTAGTGTTTAAGGTATGAACATCCTTATTCTTATTAAAGCTATTTATGTTTTTATGTACATACATTACATTTTCATAAATATATTGCGATGCCAAAGTTAATATGTTTATTTCTTTAAATTTTTCTCTAAGGGACTCTTTACAATTTAGATTATAAATCGCCCGTACGGCTCTCTTTTGCAAAACAAATATAGCTTCAATATCAGTCGCATTACCCCATAGCAAAATTCCATAAGACATTACGCTATGAAAGTAACTAAAATACACTAACCTAGCTGTCTCAACATCTGTGAGACTTCTAATCTTTCTTACAGCATATGCTGCAGAACTAAGTCTGCTTGCTAATTTAGATATATGGGGGCCCCATTGAAGTTTCGCGTCAATAGTAATACCGAGAAAAACAGTGGTATCCACAAGACTCAACTCCTCCCCATTTAAGAGCACATTGGTTTTCGAATGTTTTACATTAGGTATTGTAAATTTAATACATTTTGTCTTATTGCCGTTTAAGAGCAAATTGTTGGCGTTAAACCAATGTACTAGTTTCGATAGAGCATTATTTACATCGTCATATTTAATTGACTGCCGTTTCAGTTTGAAAATTAAAGAGGTATCGTCAGCAAATAATACTATATCGTGATTGTCCCCTACAAGATAAGGTAAGTCATTAATATAGATTAAGAACAGGAATGGGCTAAGAATCGAGCCCTGAGGAACGCCCATTGATACTACCGATCCGGAGGAACATTTACCATTAATGACGACTTTTTGAGTTCTGTTACTTAAATATGAAGTAATAAGTTTAAGCGCCAAATTTTTTACACCGTAATGTTGTAGTTTCCTGATTAATGTATCATGATGAACACAATCGAAAGCCTTGGAAAGGTCACAGAAAATACCTAAGGCATCTTGTGAATTCTCCCAGGCATTAAAAATATATTTCATAAGCTCAACACCGGCGTCAGACGTCGAGCGACCCCTTGTAAAACCAAATTGATTTTTATGAAGTAATTTATTTGTATTAAAAAAAATTAACAATTGATCCAAAATTATTTTTTCAAAAATTTTACTGAGAGTTGGTAGTACAGAAATAGGTCTATAATTAGCGGGGTCCAATGTACTACCAGATTTAAATAAAGGTATTACTTTACTATACTTCATTAAATCAGGAAACACACCAGAATCGATACAAGTATTAAAAATAATAGCAAGATGAGGTGCAATTAAATCTATTATGGACGTAATCACTGTAACGGAAATCCCCCACAAATCTGCGGTTTTCTTTACATCAATGGTTTTGAAGTATTTTACAATATTATGCGGTAATACTTTTTCAAATCTAAATTCTTTTAAACAGGTATTAACATTCTGTTTAAGTAATGATTCGGCGACAGTTGGAGAAGCATTCAATGACTCTGTTGTCAAGATAGGAACATCAGTGAAATATTTCTCAAACACCGCTGCAACTTCTTGATTTGATTTAGTCAATTCATTATTAATTTTTAATTGATAGTTTGAATTACGAGGTTTCTCATTACCGGTTTCGCTGTTAATTATACTCCACGTCATTTTAATTTTATTCTTAGCTGCCTTAATTTTGTTACTAATATGTAATGATTTGGCTGTGGAGCAAACTCTTTTAAACATTTTAGAATAATTTTTTACATATTCTTTAAAAGCATCGGAAAGATTATACGATCTTTCATGGTAAAGGTCATATAACCTTCGTCTGCTTTTATAAATTCCTACTGTCGCCCACTCATTAAATGCCTTGCGACTGTTTCTGGAGAATGTTTTAGAAGTGAATGTTTTATTAAATTCATTGTTTATAAAGGTAAATAATTCTCTATATAAATAGTCTGCATTGTTCTTATAAGAAAGGGATGGAAGGATTTTTAACATATTACTTCTAAATCTCTCCAGGCGTTTTGCATTAATAGGAACAAACACAATTTTCTCATTTACCTGTTTTTTGTGCATATAAGGTAACGAAACCAGTTGTCCACAGTGATCTGAACTAAGTTTTTGAATTATTGATTTGTTGATTGGTACAACACCTGTAAAAATATTATCAATACAAGTTGCACTACACCCTGCAATACGTGTAGCTTCAAAGAATAAATTATTAAGATTATAGGATTTGAACAAAGAACAGAATTTAATACTGATGGAAGAAGTTTCCAGGAGATTGATATTAAAGTCTCCACACACTACAAGAGATTTATTCTGTTTATTAAGCTTAACTAAAACTTCTTCCATAATTTTTTCAAAAGTATCATAACTTGAACATGGGGGTCTGTAAACACTGACAACAATAAGGTGCTCAAGCTCAACACATGCCATTTCTACAGTACGCTCAACAGAGAGGCTCACAATGTCTTTACGTTCTTTACATGATAAGGAATGATATACATATCTATGGAAGGCCTTTTGAAGTGACTTACTTATGGTTAGGTGGCTTAATCATGTTACCTAATGGTTAAGGTGGTAAAATGTTTTAGTTAATATACGTTGTAAAGTATCAACAAACGGTTTTTTTTTGTAATGTGTTGGTATATAAAATAAAAACGAATGTTTAATAATATTCTATTTTAATTTACCATGCAGTGTAAGATTATCTGCTACCTCATATCATTCCATGGGTGGTGTATGAGGCGACATAGGGAAACATCAAAGAAGATAAACAGCAGCATTGTCCTGATAACAGCTAAATAATGGTTGACAACCCGCTTTCCAAGCGTTGAAACTATGCCAAATAACAATAATCATGTTTATGTTTAACAGTGGACTCTTGATAGACTGTAAAGATACATATTCTATTTAAATGAAAATATATTGAAATTTAAAAAGGTAAAAGAACAAAATTTTGCGTACTTACACAACTTTTAGAAATATTAACAATGTTACATTAAGTAAAACAAATGAAAACACAATTATATATTAAATATAATTCAATAAAATTAAAATAAACAAACGATTATTTATTAATTTTTCATCACATTAATAAACAACAAATTTAACAAAATCTATATATATATATATATATATATATATATATATATACTCTTAAACTATACTTAGATACTTACTTATCTCTTATTTCTTAATTAATATTATAAATTATTATTTCTTAATTTATTTACACATTAATGTTTATAACACCTTTATAAAAGGGATTAAGCGTGGACTAAATGTCCCATTGGTAAGCATTCCCAGTCAGTTTTACAATTATTATTGCATAATAAATTATTCATTTGTATATTCAGGTCAGGATTTTAAATTACTTATTTATTTATTTTATTTAAATCTTTATTTGCATAAAACATGGTAGTACAGCTAAAGTTCCAACATTTGTAAATGAGGATTCATGTTTAATCAATACATCTATAAGTAAATATTTTGTCATTGTCATGCCACCCAATTACAGAATGTCAGCATTTGAAAATAAAATAAGCAATGCTAGTCAATTTTTAA